GGTCTCAAGTTCAAAACTCAATGGAGACAAAAACACCTACGTGATTCTTCTCATCTACCCTAGCCTTGGTGGACACAGTTATCCTAGTAGGTATCCCGTGAAATTAATCGAGGTGCGCAAAAGCTGCCCACAGTCATTTTTAAAAAAAATTATAAGCAATGGTTATAAATGGGACAGGCAGTACTCTAGCATCATATCTTCTGCCATGGATTCTTTATATCAAGAAATGTCATCCTCAAATTACAAAATATGGTATTTTAGGAATTAGCTTAATAATCTAATCCAGGGTAAAAGGAAAAACATTTGTGTAGCTTACATTAAATTTACAATGACATGCTTGCATCAACAGCTTAACTTAAATTTCTACTTTTAGCGTAAAATTTTGGTAATTATTTCTTCCAGTGCAAACTGATCATAGCCCACAAATTCTTTGAAAATCAAGCCATTCCCCAGTTAAGAAATCTTTGAAAGACTGAATCTTTCAACTAAAATTTTCTACTTTTAGCCTAACTTTTTGGTAATAAAGTAAAAATAATTATAACGTTCTATATTATGAAAATTATGAAAAATGCCTTACAGTGCCATGCATTTTATTGTTTTGAAATGTGTATTGTGTCAAGTGAACTAATAATGAGGCAGAATCAGCTAAATCAATTGCTAATATAAGTTTATTTTTTTACTTGAAGGTTCCACAAATTTCAGGATCGTATTTGCAATTTATTTACATACTCGAACAAATAGAAATTTGTGGGGTACTGCAAATTCTTTGCATGTTTCTTTCCTACACTTACAGATACAAATTCATTAAAGATCATTCTATGATTTCGTTGTCAAACTTACTAGGTCTTCTTTTTCATACACTGCACTTCTTTGAACAAATTTGCATGAAAGACTAAAAGACAACGTTGACAATATATGGAGTGGGATCCAGAAATTTTTTATGAGCCACAAGTGCGCGAAAGCTACCTGGTATCCGTTGCTATGGGGGTGGCAGGTATTCCGTGGAATTAGTCGAGGTGCGGAAAACTGGCCAGGACACCATGGTCATCAACAACAACAAAAAAAAAACTTTTGGCTGCTATATAAATGTTGTGACTTTTTTGGAATATAGAAAGAATATTTTTTTAAACTGTGTATAACTGGGAAGTTTATTGGAGTTTATTTGCTTCTTGACATGGTCGTAAAGTTTTACTTGCTACTTTTTTAGGAAGATATGATGATATGAAGTTTGTATTGTCGACTCCAATTGTTAAAAATCAGATTTTGTCCAATTGTGGCATCGTTCAAGAATGTTAATAGTGTGAATTATACTATGTAATTAATACTCTCTCCCGTTGTTTAACCGTACTTGTCCACTATCATAGTTTTTAAGAAATTATAAATAGAAGGGTAATTTTACGATATCATTCTTTAAATATAATAAATAGTATGTCTTGAAAAATGTAATAGGGAAATGACTATAATTAATGATAAAAGTAAATTAGGAATTAAGTGTAAAATTATTTATTGATTTCATAAAATGAACAAATGTTGTTGGACTTGAACATCTCAAAATAGTATTGTTGGGCGGAAGGAGTATTAATTTAAATTCTTTTTGGGAAATCTTATAGAACACAATTAAAACAAGTATGAAATTATCATCCCTTAGTATCTGACCGCTTTTTGTAAAACTATGTTGGGGTAAAAGCATAGTTCTGATTAGAGAGCCAATGTTGCCGATCTATGCCTGCATGTGCAAATCCGAATAAAGTTGGGAATTTGAATGGAAACAAATTGCCACAGTACAGAAGTTAGGAATTTGAATGGAAGCAAATCCGAGTAAAGAAGTTATTTTCTTTGTTTTATGATTCAAAAGTCAATCAACTATTGGTATTTCACTCACAGTGTCATCCATTCACTTCTGTTCGATTTGATAAAGGGAGAAAACTGCAACTTGTAAGTGTATCCTCCATGAAAGATGCCTGGAGAAATGGCTAGCTTGTTCTCTTTGAAGGAGTGATGATATCATACAGACGAAGTGAAAAAAACGTTGAAAATTAGAAGAAGGGAAAAAGAGATTATAGCTTTAAGAAATAGCTAGATCTTCTCTTGCTATCTGGTTTGAAAAGATGGTATTGCCGCCTATGTTGCTTGAACTCTTGAAAGCTGTTTTTCGGGTCCAAAACTAGTGCATTATTAGAGGATCCAACACAAGTGTGGCAGCATTTTGGAGAGTGAGAAACATAGACTGCCACAATAGTTTCCAACTTTTTTTTCTTTTTCCCTGAGGTGATTTTTCTAGTTGATGATGCTCAATAACAGATAGCAAAAAAGATATTATGAAAGAAGCCTGGATTATTGTCATCACTCGTCACTCATGAACAATTAGATTCACTATCCTGGTTATCGTTTATCAACGTTTTCACCTAAGTAGGTCAAAGAAAGACATGATTTGAGAGGCAACACAAGAAAACTAACAATTCATTGGTACCGAAGAAAAAGAGAGAAATATAAGCAAGGCTGTGATGACAGGAATGTAAATCAAAAGACTTCCTAACATTCTGACTCAGTGGAAAATATGAGAACATTCTGGTGAGGATTGAAAATGACTAAATCTGATAATGTTAACATTCTGAAACTGTCTGCTAGAATAAATCCGAAAAAATAAGGACTCTAGTTTTTTAGCAAGGACATGTAATTTAATAACTTGACGGCACCAAGTTATGTACAACTAAGCAAAAGCATCCCTGTTTGGATATGCAGGGTACTAATGACAAACATCACAAACCTGGGTGAACAAGTGCTGAATGTTAACTCAGTTGCACAACTCAGCTTTTGAAGGTAATCTTGGATGAGGGTCTTAAAACCTTGATGATAATCACGGCTCGTCTTCCTCATCATCATCAGAATCTTGATCAGTATTATCCTCATCATCATCAGAATCTTGATCAAAATTATCCTCATCATCATCAGAATCATGATAATAATAATCACTGCAACTGTCTTCCTCATCATCAGAATCTTGAAAATAATCATTGCAACTGTCTTCCTCATCATCAGAATCTTGACAAGGATTATCCTTAGCTTTAACCACAGAAGATACATCCACAAGCCTACACGTGAAATCATGCAAATCATGCGAAAGCACCAAATAATGAAGATTCGGGGCACAAATTTCCAAGGAACTATCACTTTCACTTCCATCATCATCCATTCAATAACCTTCCAATTTCAGGCTATCAACTTTGAAAGAATTAATTTCCAGGCTAAAAAAAATCCCCAACCTTGTGAAATTAAATAGTTTACAAAGCAGGACAGACTGACAGTAAGTTCACAATTTCGGCATTCCCTATCACCATATCCTCCAAAAGTTATGCTCTTTAGAGACTTTCACGCTATGACAATATATTAGAAATAAGGAACTTTCTACTAGATGCAATGTTCTCAACGCTGAACAGGTAAAGAAAGATTCAGTAAATAGACAAAGAGGATCAGAATAGACTATAACATGGTCCACATTTTTTTAACTGCAAAACAGCCAATTCCTTTTTCTTTTTCCCTGAGGTAGCTTTTCTAGTTGGTGATGCTCAAAGAACAGATCACATAAACAATGTTATGAAAGAAGCCTAGATTATTGTCATTAAGATCGCAGTTGTCACTCACGAAAAATTAAATTCACTTTATTGGCCATAGTGCATCCATTTTGTCAACAAAGTAGGTCAGAAAAGACAGGATTTGGAGGACAACACAATTATAATTCCCATCCATTGGTAACGAAGATAAAGAGAGAGATACAAGAAAGGTTGTGACAGCAGGAATGTAAATCCAAAGACGTCCAAGCCATATGCCAAGTGACAAACAAATGATAAAGTTATAACCTGAATCAGCAGAAAAAATGAGACTACAAGAGGGGCGGGGGAAAACTTTCTGGTGGTGATGGAAATGACTTGCTCTGAATTTTCTAGCAGACGCATTAACGGAAGGATAAAAATTGGTAAAAGATTTAGCCTAATAATGACCTAAACTTCAACTATAAAAAATCAACAGCATTGTAAGCCTCAATTACAGACTGTTAAAATTATTTGAGGTAGACAAACAATGCAGACCTCTTTCTTCCAAGTAAAGAGCCTATGAGAGAACCATTTCGCAATCAAAGTTTGATGCTATTGACAAAGCAAGGAAGAAACATTTAATTACAACTTAAAAGAAACTCGCAATGCACATGCACAATATCTAAAATGTAACAAACCAAAACTTCATGAGAAACCAAGCTACTATACCACTAGATATACCATAACAGTAAGTTTCAAAAGAACAATAATTAATAACATAGAGAAGTTTAAGATTAGCGATTGCGTGAAGTTGATCAAAAACTTAATATAAGGGAAAACTTTTTGTATCCTGAGACAAAAATACTTGTAGTCTAGTTATAGAAAGCTCACTCTTGATAGGTAATCACAAACTCAGCAGAGGATCTCAGATCACTAGCGCCAATCGCGATAAAAATCGGGACACACTTGATTCCACAAATCTCACACCTTCGTCTTTTTGAAACGATAACGAACTTCTCCAAAACCACTGCATTCTTTAACAAAAAGTTTGAAAAGCTTCCTGATATATTCCCAGTTGAGATGCTCTTTCATGCACATCCCAGAGGAGATGACGATCTCAACATTCTTTAGGTTGGGAAACACAGAGCTTGAATTATAATTCTGCAAATCAATACTATCACCTTTGACCAAATATTTTCTCTCAAAATAGCACCTGGAATCATCAAACTGGAGAAAAAGAATATAGTCAGGATACAAGCCAGCCTAAAAATATTATTTTCACAGTATGTCTGGTGCAGAAAAATTTCAAAACTAACAGACATGAATGGTGCTTGGAAAATGATTGTGTATCATAACTATTTGTGGCATAGGTATCTGTAATAAAAGAATGATAGTGCAACAATCCCTTTTGTTTCAGAGTGCCTTTGCCACAAAGAAAGCAACAAAACCAACCATATTAAAGTATAGCTTTACAATGACAAAAGCAAAGCTTCTTAGTGATAATTAAGGGATATATTTGAGTTATCCTTCAAAAACAATTTGTGGGGAGGGGGAAGAGAGGTTGTTAAAACTTCATTAAATGAATAGATGTAAGAAGAAAAGAAGAAGTTCCAGAAAGTTACAGGCTGATTGTCTATTTCTAAGTTGAGTGTCTCCACAAGAGGTGAGGCTCGCAAAAGGCCAGCTGCCCCATACAAACTAAACTTTTCCAAATGCAACTCCAGCACTAGATTTTTGCATTCCAATTCTGGATTTGGCAGTCCTTTGAACTGCCATATGCATAGAACCTGGTGCAATAATCCCAATGAAACAAGTAAACAATGGGGAAAGCACTTCACAGCAAAGAATTAAATGTTGGGCCAGCAATTGAAACACTAATCTTAAACTAAATACTAACCAAATAAACAACTAATGTATCAGTCTTCATAGCACCGCAAGATGAAAAAAGAGGAACAAGAATAAGTAGAAAGATTAATTTCATAATGCTATACTTCAATTAAAGAATGATCCACTATAAAGAGAATTCTTCTTTACATAACAAAATATAAATAACTTTCTTAGCTTAGCCTCTTTAGAAAAGCTAAGGAACACGATTTTTTTTTATTTATCTCTTAGGGCTTGTTTGGTAAGGAGTAAAAATGAGTAATTTCAGTTTCTTGCTTATTTATGTTATTTGGTAGGTAAGAATTTTTTTTTTAATCTCAAGACTATTTATACATCATAATTTAGAAAAATACTATAGAATGATAGTCGAGGATTAGGAGGAGCTCAAAATATTAATCATAAGCGCTTTAAAGTCGAATTAAATTTTATAATAATAGGCCTTCAATTTTAAGAAAAATCATAATTACAAATATGATTCATGTTTTGTATCTCAACATATTTGAATTTTAAGTAGAACAAAAGTACTCCTACGATATAATTTTTTTTTAAAAAAAAAAGTTCGTTTTATATATTTATAAAAACAGTAGGTGAGAGTTGGAAAATTAAAACTTGGTTCTTGGAATTGATAAACATCCATCCATACCAAACACACCCTTAAAGCAAACACAAACCAAGATTTTTGCTATTTATAAATATCATTGGAAGAAACTTTCCATAGTTTTCATTCCTCCGATACGTAGATAGACGTTCATCATAAAATGCAAAAGAAAATAAAATAGTCTTTACGGCCACAATTGTTCATCCTTTATCGGATGAACTATTAAAGTAAATAGAGAATGCCTAAAAGGCGACACACAAAGAAATACAAAAGTAAATAAAATAGCTTTTACGGCCACAACCATTCATCCTCCACCGGATGAACTATGATGGCCTTTACGGCAACAACCGTCCATCCTCTATAACCAGATGAACTTTAATTTGAAACTAAACTAATCATTTTGGGGTTGCCAGTGACATTATCTCAATTGCAGCCCCTATCAACCTTTCTTCCACTGTGAATGCTTCCGAGAATTGAGCTATGTCACTTCCACCTTTTGCCTAAATATACATTGATCAAACATGTTTTTAGAACCAAGCAATAATAATATACTCAATAAAATCTAAAGAGAGTAATATATATGTACACACGTTATCCATATTATCTTGTAAAAGTAGAAAGATTGTATATTTATGTTAAACACCTCGAAAATTTCTAAGTTAATATACAATCTTTGTACTTTTACAAGATAATATGGATAACGTGTGTACATATATATTACTCTCTTTAGATTTTATTGAGTATATTATTATTGTTTGATCTAAAAACATGTTTAAACAATGTATATTCAGGCAAAAGGTGGAAGTGGCATAGCTCAATTCTCGGAAGCATTCACAGTGGAAGAAAGGTTGAAGCAAGCTGCAATTGAGATAATGTCACTGGCAACCCCCAAATGATTAGTTTAGTTTCAAATTAAAGTTCATCCGATTATAGAGGATGGACGACTGTTGCCGTAAAGGCCATCATAGTTCATCCGGTGGAGGATGAATGGTTGTGGCCGTAAAGGCTATTTTATTTACTTTTGCATTTCTTTGTGTGTCGCCGTTTAGGCATTCTCTATTTACTTTTATAGTTCATTCGGTAAAGGATGAACAGTTGTGGCTATAAAGGCTATTTTATTTTCTTTTGCATTTTATGATGAACATCTATCTCGGTATCGGAGGAATGAAAACTATGGAAAGTTTCTTCCAATGATATTTATAAATAGCAAAAATCTTGGTTTATGTGTTTGCTTTAAGGGTGTGTTTGGTATGGATGGATGTTTTATCAATTCCAAGAACCAAGTTTTAATTTTCAAACTCTCACCTACTCTTTTTATAAATATAAAAAATGAACTTTTTAAAAAAAATAAAAAATTACATGTAGGAGTACTTTTGTTCTACTACTTAAAATTCAAATATGTCGACATACAAAACATGAATCATATTTGTAATTATGATTTGTCTTAAAATTGAAGGTCTATTATTATAAAATTTAATTCGACTTTAAAGCGCTTATAATTAATATTTTAAGCTGCTCCTAATCTTCGACTATCATTCTATAGTATTTTTATAAACAATGATGTATAAATAGTCTTGAGATTAAAAAAAAAATTCTTATCTACCAAATAGCATAAATAAACAAGAAACTAAAATTACTCATTTTTATTCCCTATCAAACAAGCCCTAAGAGATAAATAAATAAAAAAGCATGTTCCTTAGCTTTTCTAAAGAGGGTAAGCTAAGAAAGTTATTTATATTTTGTTATGTAAAGAGGAATTCTCTTTTTACTGGATCGTTCTTTAATTGAAGTATAGCATTATGAAATTAATCTTTCATCAGCCAAATCTTTCTACTTATTCGTGGTACCTTTTTTCATCTTGTGGTGCTATGAAGACTGATACATTAGTTGTTTATTTGGTTGTTACAAAATCTAACAAAAATTCTAGTTCCGGGTAAGATAAAGGAAATAACACAGTTCCAAAGCTGACAAAGAATAGCAGAAAGGTACAAAAGTCCCCACAAGTTTCTGTAATTTGTCTAGATTGGTAGGTGAAATTCGCACAAAGGTTCTTCATTGTATATATAATGTTTACATTCTGAAACTGTCTGCTAAATTTCAATCTGAGAAAACAAGGGCTCTAACTTTTTTGAGAAAGATCATGTGATTTTAATAACTTGCAACACTAAGCAAAAGCATCCCTGTTTGACTATGCAGGGATAAACATCACCAACCTGAGTGAACAAAGTTCCGAATCAAGTGAAGTCCAGAGATACTGCCACCTTTTAGAGAGAATACATGTTGTGAATGCTTCCTTTGTCGGCAAAAGGGAAAGAATCTGAAGTAGAAGTGAGTCCGGCAAGTCACTCAGGCTGTCATCTAGGGTTTCTTCCGCCATGATTTTGTTTTTTGTGTTTCTTAACTACCGCTTCGGTAGTACCCTCTTCAATTTGTACAGTTAATATATTTATATATTCGCCTAAAATTAAAATTAAAATTAAATAAGGGATATACTAAGGCCCGTTTGGCCATATGATTTGAGAGCATGATACGAAATTGTATGAGATGAAGTTAATATTTTGTTTAAACATATAATTTAAACTCATGAATTTGGCCGCGCTATGCGCGGTTTAAATATTTCTAATAAAATTTTACTTTATTTGGCAATATTTACCATTACAATTGTTTTTTTATTTCTACAAATTTACAAACCATTATTTCCTTTGATTTCTACTTTTACATAATCTTTTGTAATTTTTATTTTATCTTTTAAATATTTGATTATATTAGTATCTCTCATGCACTTATTATTTGAATTATACTTATAAAATTTTTCGAGTATACACATATTCACATACATAACCTTTTTCATATTATTTTTTTATAATTTTTCTTATTTTAGAAGGTCATGAATATTTCACCCTGCAAACAGAAAAGGTGAATGTCACATCCGGTAAAATATAAAAAAAGTATAGTTTTTTAAAGTTTTTATGATATAAACTAAAAGAATAAATGGACATTTTATTTTTAATTGTATCAAATAAAATTTCAAATTTATTTATGAATTTTTAGACAACTTTTATTGCTTCAATGCATGAATAACTACAAGGAAATAAGAAACTTTCACAAATATATATTTTCATAAGCAATTTCAAAATAGAATTCTCACTCGTCCACCACAATATTGCTCCATCTCTCATATTATTTTCTCACTATTGTGTTGTATAAAAATAAAATACAAAAATAATATGAACATGAGTGTATTTACTGATTTGCAAAAAGAAAATCACACTTGAATGAAGCTTATCTTGCTTAGTTGATAAATCTTCTCTCTTTAAATATGTCATCGTAGATAATATTATATTTTCATATAATTTGTAGTGAAAATATTAAATAGACCATTGGAAGAAAATTTTAGTTTACAATGAACCAGTTATATGAGTAATTACAATCAATAACGAAAAGTCAATAACTTCGTATTCTTGGTAACATCACATATCTATGTGATCTGCAATAAGAAATTTAAACGCCAATCACATTTTCATTATTCACGAAGAACTATTTATTACGTAATTACAATTTATAAACCTTATCAACAATCAATAATGAAAAGTCACTATATAATTTTTAGAAATATTTGTGATGAAAAATTAAATATTAATTTTTTTTTGGTAAAATTTGAACACCAACCAAAAGCATGGTAAAATAACTACTTGCACTTCATGTTTCAACTCCTCTGAAAAATCAATAAAGAAAAGTCACTATATAATTTTTAGAAATATTTGTGATGAAAAATTAAATATTAATTTATTTTGGTAAAATTTGAACACCAACCAAAAGCATGGTAAAACAACTACTTGCACTTCATGTTTCAACTCCTCTGAAAAATCAATAAAGAGATCATTTCTATATAACCGGCAAACAATTAACGTCTAATTAGAGTATTATCTTCATAAGATATATGAATTAAAATTCATTGCTTAAGGTAAATAAAAATGAAGACAAAAATTAAGATATTGCAATGCTAAATTGAGAGAGAATAAATGAAGAGATATAAAATGAACAAATAGGAGTAAGGATAAAGTAGTGCGGAAAGAAAAATAGATGAATTGTGTTAGAATTCTCAAATATTGCATTATATAGTAAAATTCTGAAATGTTGCATTATCCTTTTCATTAAAGAGTTGCAATTAAGTGGATGCA